AAAGGAATGACTGAGTAGCAGCTATTATGTGGCCTTGATTTTTCTTAAATTGTCAGGTATAAAACACATACATGCATATTAGTTATGCACACCATTTTTTTTAAGAAATTGTGCCTATGGTTTTTTTTATGGATATAGTCAAATTGTATCCTAACAAGCGAGAAAGAAACTATGGGGACTGAAGGAAAGACTGCATCCCCAACTGCAGTTCAGGCAAAATGCAAAGTGCCTGTCGATAGAGTCAAGAACATGAGAGCCAACTCCCACTGTCCAAGAGAGTTAAGTATGCTCTGTTGTACAGGAGATTGGGCTTTGCCTTTAAAAGTTTCACCTCCACAACACCAAACCGAGGGGAATACAAGCTACTCACTGTGGAGAGATCTGTTACAGCCACCTCCACCAGACCTAAATCTGTGGTGCAAGAATATACACGCATCTCAGAGCGATCCTTGGAGCAGCACATTCACCCAGCTAGGGCGTGCACCAACACCTGCAACAGGAGCTGGACCAAAGACCCAACTGTGGGTCAAATTATCTCTAGAGATAACCAGACTCGCTCTTTCGGCTAAGCTGCGAGACGATGAGTCAGAAATTGCGGTTATGCCCAGAAGTGAGGCAGCAGATCTCCAGGCTACAGGCTGCGCTTGCTCTGAAGGATGGAGAGGCAGATAAGCATAGGGAGTCCTACCATAACAACAGCACTTTTCTTTAGTGAACGCATAGCACTGAAAAGTCACTAAGAAGAATCACAGGAGACACATTCATTTAAAATATCTATTGAAATTACAAATTAAACTCTTCAATATGATTCAAAGTACAAAACACAACATTAAAAGGCTTCAACAGCTCTTTTATACATCACAGTGTTAGTGGCACAAAATGTACTTACATTTCAAATACGTCAACAGAACTATTTTTACGCTGGCCAAATACATTATTTATACATACGCATGACTCCTTCATGCTTACCCCTATACAAGTTTAAAATACATCCATGATAAAATGATCAAGAAAGGTTCAGTTATGTACCACGTACCTGTACTTAATGTTCCCAGAATTCTTACAAGAGAGATACACAAATCAAAGCAATAATGAAGACCACAGGGCTCTAAACACAAACAGCATGCCTTACTTAGTATCTAAGTGCGTTAGCAATTAAGCACTGATGCAGGCTTTTTTGATGTCTTTAATATCAATGTCATCAAAAACCGTATTCTATCTGCTTTCCTCAGGATTTTAGATTATGTATGTGAAATGTACAAACTTTGGTTTTAAAAAAAAGCAAACCTGCACAAAGCTTTATGCATGCTGCACCTCACTGCGATGAGGAACGGCCTGTATTAAATATATTTATTCCTATACAGTAAAAGGCCTACAGATGAAATGCACAAAACTTCGTTTTTATTTTCCTGCCCGTATCAATTTTAAACTGAAAGCACTTAATCGTTTTCTGATCTATGAATATTTTATCCTGTCAGCTCCATAAACAAGAGAGCTTTTCACTAAATTTGATTGTGTTTCCTGCATGTCAGGAGATCAACTGTCAGCTGAGAGTTGATCCAGTCAGTTCTTATTTGGGATTTTGCCTAATTCGTAAGCCGGAGTATTTGAGGAAAGATCATGCTGCTTGGTATATGGGGGAAAGCATCCCAAGTTCTTGGCATGCTAAAGTCAGTAGTAGGAGGTTTCAGGATGAATGCCAACATGAATAAAATTGAAATAGTAACATAAAACTACAGTAAGCATTTTTATGTCATCTTTCATCACAGAATCTCGAAGAGCTTCAAAACCAATGAATTTGCCCTCACAGCCTTCCTGTGAGGTAGGTAAACATCGGTCCATCCATTTAAAAGATGGTTAAATTGAGATAAGAGAAGATCAAGTGACTTGTCCAATGTCACGTGGGGAAAACTCAATGCTGCTGCCACTGCAGTCGGTGCAGGCTATGCTCCTGTCCTCTCTCAGGACTGACTTCAGCCCAACTAATGAATGGCAAGTCTAGGGAGATGCAAAGCCTCTGGAGTCTGGACTCCACACTCGGTCCCATGCTTGCTTTACCCCAACAGAACATGCAAATGATGTACTGCTACAAACTCCATTAAAAACAGCAACTAAGACAATGCAAAAACTCTAAATAATAGCATAACCATAAAAAAAGCAACAGAAATCATGCAGTGCATCTTATTTTTCTGGTGAAAATCTAAGAAGTCAAAGCTGTTGTAACAGAATTTCATCTGAAAAGCAGCAGACACAAACATTCGCTTTTCCATGGCAGGGGGCTTAAATGTCAGAGTTTAAAATAATGTATTTACAATTCAATTTCAGGGTATTAAATGTCACACTATCAATATAAGCTGTAACATAAAAATGCCCCAAACTCAATACGTCACCGCCAGAAGTTGCTACTTTGGAAACAAAACAGCATTAAAAAAAAAAATAAAAAAAAAAACCACCAAAAAAATCCCCGAGAAGAATACAGATGGAATGACATTTAGTAAACCTGAAAGAATTAGGTATTTGGTAAATATACGTAGGCATATAGTCTATCCCAACAGCCAGGATGTGAAACGAGATATATCATAAAAATGTCCAGTAGCAATTCAAGTATGTTGAGATCGGGGACAGAGATATACCGACAGAAGTACAGTTTTCTGATTATATATAATGCTACCTCTGAGCATTAATTATAAACTATCATTAAAAAAGTCTGTATTTGTAAGGACTTCTTTTTCTTTCCTTTTTTTTAAAATCTGGAAATGCATTAATTTTGACATTGATTATTAACTGGCCACACAGTACCGTGGAAAACTCAAGTTTCACTATATTGCCACATAAAGGCCGTCCCTAAGAAAGGCACAGAGAAAATAAACCTCATACCAGGACACTCCGGTACTGTTAACAGGCCAGTGCACCTCTGCTGTTCCCTATTATCCCAGTAGTAGAATTGGTCATTAGAGCCACTGCCACATACAGCAAAATCCCTTAGTGCTCCCAATTAGAAAATTAACAACCCATGAAATCTTTACGTCCTTTTGTCCAGTTTTTCTTTCTCCAGTTAAATAGAATTACAGAGCCAAGGATGAAAGGTCATAGCTTAAGCTTACCTCCAGGAAGCTGTCCTTCGCAGAAGGGTTTCCATTATTCTGCACACTGAAGCTATGACTCAGGAGAAGCCAGGTGCTCAGCTTAGGGCACCTCTAGGGAGATGGACTGAGCTGCTGCCAGAGCCGGCGTGAGATAACCGCTTCACCGCCCGCTGAACTCAGCACTGTTCCACACGCCCTTTGGGGGCTGGCAAACAGTGATCGAACACACTATCCAGACTTCCCTACAGATACCTTTGAACAACTAAGCAATTTTTAATAACAAAGATAGCTAAAATACTAAAAATACTGTGATAACAAAACCAGATATCACAAGCAAAGATCTGAACTGTGCATTACCATAAACAATCCGAAGATAGCTCAAGGAGTTCAAACTTGCTGGAAACCAGCTATCCTTTTTCTTCACGTTACAATGGCTGAACTCATTAAAATCAAGCCAAGTAAGTGAATTGCAGATAACCTCCAGCTCCCAGATCTAAAATCTGTGGTTAGACACAGTTTGAATTTGGATACCATTAAACTTGGAAGGAGGGGGGGGAGAAGAAATTCAAGAGTAGTTTTATAAAAAGACAGTGGCCCTTTTCAAAATTGTACCCTACAGTCTTTTTATTTAACAGATAGACAGTATAAAACGAAAGATAATAAAGGAGTCGGTTCCTTACGCTTGAGCTATGAAAACATACTCCCAGCCTGTGACAGCAGCCAGAAGCAGTTGCATTTAAGGGTCTTAATACATTTTCAGTGCAAAGTTATCCTGGCTTCAACATATTCATCCATCTCAGTACATTGATAATGCACAGAAATAAATGATGATGAAAAAACGACAGTCAAACTTCAGTCCACAAGCCATTCAAAAGAATGTTTTCCTTCAGTACTACACACAGACATACACATTGCTTCAGATGCTTCATATTTCATGGCAAGAAGTTATTAGTCAAATTCTTGTAGGCTTTAAAATCATAGCAAAATGGTTTTCAACAAAGTATTTCTAAAGAGAAACTACAATGATTAATAGTATGTTGACTAGCACACTTTACTACCCTGGAAACACAGCACTGTGAATTCCGTAAAACTATCAAATCAAGTCAAGTGATTATTTTTCAAATGAAAACTTGTTTCGTCACAGCATTGTTATTAACAGCATACACCATACATCATACAATATTAACTCTGAAAATGGGCTAAGTAGTTTAAATGTAAAGTACAACTTCCACAAATATCCCAGGTATTTTTATTATTAACTACAGGGATAACCCTGATATATTTTTACACTTAAAAGGAAAGATTCATTGATAACCCAAGAGTCTGCTAAATAGTAAAGTTAGTCCTATATTTTTTAATAATTGCCCTAAAGACAGAAGCAAACTATCCTGAACTTCCAAAATATTTCAATAGCACAGCTATTTACACATTTGGTTTAAATAGGATTATATATATCTCTCTCTATATATAAAAAGATTAAGATACCTGGATTAGAAGTTACATAGCCCTGTAAGTGTAGCAGAACCCTAAACAACAGCAAAAAATAACAATTCAGAAAAACACTAGTGGTCCAGCGGTAATCAATACCATCAATGCATTTTTAAAAGAACCTTGATTAGATAGCAGATTTGTGTCACCACTCAACCTTACAGCTTTATCAATTCACTTTTAAAATGTAGCTTTCAATCAAACAAATTTCTTTAAGACTTCAAAAAATTCCTGGAAGGCAACAGGACCAACTTTGTCCTTCTAACCCTCCCCAGATTTCAAGAAAGGCATAGGATGGCCTATATGCACCTTATTGATTTTGTTATACTTGGAAAAATAGATACTAAAAAGGACATTGTGATGGCTTTAACAAAAACAGATGTGTAATAAGCATGGTAAAGTCACACTAAGTTGACTATCTGATTTAAATGATAGGCAACTTAAATATATAGACAACAAATTTTCAAGCGAACAGATATGTAGACAGTTTAGATTTGTATGCATTTTTAGCTTGTTTTGCTGATGTCATTCAGCACAGTTCCCAGTCCACCAGCAGGGCATCAGAAACTTTTTGCATTTTTTTTAGCAGTATCACCTCTTCATTTCAGATAGCTACCTGGGTCCATGGTCTCCCTTTAGCACCAAACTTGCCTTCCATTACCCTCCTTGTCTATTATCAATTGATCTATGCAACAGTAGTAACAACAGTTCCTGGAACCAAGACTGGGTGTCAGTGAAAAGCAGAACGGGTCAAGTAAGGCTACAGCAATGTAAGTGCAAGAGGGAAACATCAACAGCAACAATAAAATCAAAACACATGTTGTGATGAGTCCAATGTTCTCTCAGTCTAGGTAGGTAGAGGGTCATCATCTCCTTTATTACATTTGCACTTGCAGCACAGAACAAATGGTGTAGCAAGTAGAAGAAAAGGGGAGGCCACCAAAAGTAGAAGACCAAATCCTGCAAAAATTCCTACCACCTGCAAGAGAAAGGAATAGCATTGCATTAGGGGTAACAAATGTCTAGATTCTGCTGACGCCAGTGCATCATCAGTGTCCTTCAAAAGGATCTCAGCAAATGCCATTGACCTTATCAGAGCCAGGACTTCCCCCCAAGCGTACGCTACAGTCAGCTCCTGCGGTCAGTAAACTTGAGTGAAACCAGAGAGCCAACATTCATGTTTCATTGCTCCAGTCAGAACCGCAGCCACACAACTCAACTTCATCACACAAAGCGATGCAGATGGTTATTTGCCTTTTTGAGTTTTGCTATGTATCTCAAAGAACGAATGAAGCAACTGACTAGATACTTTTTTCTTGATCAAATCTAAATATTAAATATCAGGATCAAACCCACAAGACAGTTAGAGACTCCCACTTTCAGGTGCTCCCCTTTTTGCTGGAGAAAGCTCCAAAAAGAATCAGTCAAAGTTCTGATGTTGTTCATGGAGAATCTGGGAAGACTCCCACAAACTTCCCACCAGCAGGAACACAAGCTTGGGAATCTCAGCCACAGATTACAAACACTATAGACTATAGGAGGACTTTGCATATGTCAAATGGCTTTTTGCAGTCAGACCTGAGCTCACCCTGCTGCTTCAGGGGACATGACCTAACTCTATCTAAAAGCATTTTTTTCATTGACATTTAGTGATCACCCTCTTCCCAGCATGGGCAGAGGACCACAGAACTACCCATCCTGATGGTGTACCAAACTCTGTTAGTTTCTACAGAGTTTAAATTTGGAAAATTATTAAAAAAACATTCAAGTTGAGGTTCATTGCCTGAGGAAGTTTCCCATTTGCCACAGGCAGCTGAAGAGTAATGCTGCAACAATATGCCTGCAAATTATTTGAGAAAATAATTTATATTTATTCACGAGAGTGTCTGTGAATAATTTCGAATAATGAAGGCAGGAGTGGCATGCTAATCTGCTAGCAAAACCTCACAACAGAAGGCAAAAAGAAATTAGAGTGCAGTACTCATTACGAATTCTTCTAGCCAGGGCTAGACAAGCCACTTCAATTAGCTGGCAAATATTTAATTAGCCATAGTATAGACGGGATGATTTACTAGTACTTTTGTTGGCCACAGACAATTTCTTGTTCTGATTACTATGTATTTCTTTTTGCAATTCCACTATCCAGGGATTTTCAGAGGAGGGGCTGAGAGGAAAGGCTGGTTGCGGGAGATGGCGCTGTGGGACAGCAGTCACCACCCTCAGACTGCCTCCTTCTATGCCAAATTCTTTCAATCTTGGCTTTTGGCTGTCCAGGGATAAGGAGCTTAAACTTCCTTGCCCTAACAAATTTATTGCCAAGAGCAATTTCTTTTTCAGCTTCAGAGGTGTACACATTTCATTACTCATTCTTTTTTTGGAGGTGCTGACAATCTGATGCAACTTCCATTTACTAATCTTTGCATTTATTTACTACAGATATAAACCAAAGCTAAATTCTCATCTCCTTTAAAAACTGTGAGCTGCAACTATTGCCATACTGTACTCTTTGGAGACAGCATGCCCTTGCCCAGCTCTCTGCGGTCCAGACTAAGAGGGCACTGGTCAGACAGAGCCAAGCTGGAAGTTAGCAGTGCAGTGGACCCGACTGACTACTGGTAATTTTTATGAGATACCTATTTACACCTTCCTTTCAGTCTCAATGTGCCATCAAAGAATTCATTAAGTTTCATTTTGTTTGTTGGAGGTTTTTTTGTTTATTTTGTTGGGGGTTTTTTTGTGGGTTTTTTGTTTGTTTGTTTGTTTGTTTTTTAAACAAAACTGCCTGCTGAGTATTACTTACTCATTTTCTACTTGGTTCTGTTGCTTCTGAAGAAGTTGCTGCCCTACTCAGCATCAAGCCATTCCCTCTGGCCAAAACAAATATTTTTTTTTAAATCCACAAACAACAAAGGCTCACCTCAATTTGCCTTGGATAAATACTGAAAGGAACTTAACATAAGGAAACGATTGCAATGTTGATTTGGCTTTAGTGGGTTTAGCAGAATTATAACCTGACTGGTGGAGAATTATCACTTTCTTTCTCAGCAATGACCAGAACATCAAACATACTGTCTATCAAACATATTTGCACTAACTGCTGTGGCTAAGAACAGATTCCAAATATCAGATTCATCACCTCATATTACAGGTATATCAGGAAAGCGTATGTACCCACACACTTCCTAAGATACCACTGGGTAAGCCACACAAAACCCAGTCCATAGCTCAGGCACCCAGGGGTGTATGTGGAGGGAGAGGGGTGCGATCCTTCTTTTATTTCAGTTTAGCTGTTTGTCCAGAACTTGGGGTTTATTCTCTAGACTTGGGGTTTATGCTCAAATGGAAAGAAATCTGTACTTCATAAAAAGCATTTCGTCTCAAGCTAAGGTCAACTGGCACACAATTAATTTAGGAAGAGATGACTCAGGTACCCGAATGTCTCTGTATCTCTAAAGTGACTGTAAAGGCAGTAGATTGGACTAAGTCACACATTGGCATTTATTTTGTATGCATTAAGTAGTGCAGAGAGCTCTTCCACTACCAGCATTCATGCTGGGTCCACCAAGACTGAATCTAGACTACAAGAGGTATCCCCACACTCTTTGTAATTGTCAGTTTGAATCTGTGTTTGGAACTACTGGGTTACCTTCTACTCAAACTACATGAATGAGTCAACTGGAGTCCATTGCAAGATACTGAGCATACTCAGGCTAATTCCCTTCCATTTCTGGATCTGGAGCTAAAGATCCCTTGCAGGATGAGCTCCCCTGTTGATAGTATGGATGGTGGCAACCCAGTTTTTCCTCCTTGTTTACTGAGAACATACCATGTCACTTAACTGGCTCTGCAAACGCAGAGTTCTCAGTTCTCAGTTCTCTTGGTTTTCTGCCAAGGAGTGTCCTCTCTGGGAGAGCTACTTGTTCCTCTCCAAGCTACTGCCCTCTTTAAATCTGCTATGAAAATTAGTTACCATTTGGCACAGAATTTTACCCTAAGGTGTTAAAATGAGTAAGGCAAAGGAAGGCACTATGACAGCAGTAGACCTGTACAGAGCTTTTAAAGATCTGAGCTTTACCTGTGTTCTGTGCCAGATAACAGATGCCCTGGAGTGTCCCAGCTTATTTCGACAAGGTCCTTTGTCATAGTGTATAAGGAGAAAATCATCCTACAAAATATTAAATGAAAAGGTAGGTAATAAACAGAAGTACAAACTGTTCTTCAAGTTATAAAATACTATTTACTGAGAACTTATAACCAGGAATTGTACAGGAAGATCAAAGCTTAGTGAGGTGGATATGGCCAGGTCCAACCTTTCCAAAGTACTTTGTTTACAGTTAAGTGTCTTCACAAACAGGTTTGTTTAGCATGTGTTATATGTCTATAATGAACTCTTCTCCCAAGGGCTCTCAACCTGCATATTTAAATGCTAGTATGGAGTTTAGCAAGAGGATCCAAGAAGATAAGCTGCCCTTTGTATATATTTTACACACATACAGAAAGAGCAACGGAAAATGAATACTTGTACCGCAGACTTCCCAAACTTAGTTTCTTTTATTAGTTGAAGAATAAAAGGACAATACAGATTTTTGAGACATGATGTCCCTATCTGTCCTGCCATCCTTTCGCAAGCCAGCCAAGACAGCAGGCCTAGTACCAAGGGAACACTGCTTTTTAACTGACCACGTGAGAAGCCTGTGACTTAAGGACTGTTAGTAAAGCATTCCAATGGGACAAACACAGGATTTGAATAGTCAGAGTAGCTTTCGGGAACCTAAAACATTTCCTTTGCTATTGTTAACGATGCTATAAAATAAAACAGATGACATGGAAACAGATGTTGTGTATTGTATATACTCTGATTCTTGGGCATGATAACAGGCTGATTTTAAAAAAAACATAAACATATGACAGCAGCAGCTTATAGACTGACAAATTCCTGGTGTTAGGACAACATCGTATTCTTTTTCATATGTCAGATCTATTTCTTGTCCCATAGAATATAATGAATGGTAAACAAATCTGATTGCTAGACTCCTGCATGGTGACGCATCAAATCTAAAATTTGTCTGATAAACTTCCACAGACTGAAAACATTGCTATACTCATCCTAAAACTCCTTCAAGAAGGGGAACGTCGACAAGTCAGTACTAAATGAAGCATTATTTAAAAAAAAAAAAAGCAAAAAAAACCCTAAACCCATGTTAGCTAGCATGTAAAGATTGCAGACAACATTTTCATAAAATTTTACTTTATAATGATTATTTCCTGACTCACATAGGCAAAATGCTAAGATCACAAAGGTCAGACAAGGAAAACAGAGCATACAAATCCTATCAAATTACCAGCATCAGCTCTGGTGGGTTGCAGTCCACCAAGCTGGGCAGAAGCTAGTGAGCTACTATTTAATTGATTAATGAGACAGCTAGATGGCAAAGCAATGAACTTACAAGCTTCTGGCATGTACTCACATCAAGAGATTCCAGACAGTACCAGCAAAAGGCATGTTTGCAGTTCTTACACATCATTTGGGCACAGCCTTCATCTCGTTCAATGTAAACTTTACACTTTGGACAGCGTTTGATTGGCGCATCATCTTCTTCCATTTTAAAAATTGAACTGTGGGAGAGAGTGAGGAATTAATAAGGTGTGTGGCCATGAAGAAGAGAACTTCTAAGAAACGTGCTAAGAAGATAAGCCTACTTTTTTATTTTTTAAAAAATGAGAAATTAGTACAGATCCAGGTATTTAACTGAGTTTTGTTATTCAGATATTTTGGCTATACTCTATTTTTCACACATATCTCTAGAAAAAAGTGTTTAATGACTACAGTGCCTATGTAAGAGTCAGGACATTTTCTCTGCCACATATTTTACCAACTGTTTTTGTTATCTAGTGATACTAACAGATATTATACAGTTTTCTCCCGGTATGTATCAGATGAGGAGCAGGTAGTTCACATCTAAATGCTTTGTAAGTCTAGATCATTTTCCTTCTTCCTCCCTTCTTCTTTCTCAGAAAAGAAGAGGAAGCAATCCCTTGATGGCACAACAAGCCCAGAGCACATTCCTTCGGACTGTGGCACCGGGTAGACATTGCTTGTCTCTGCCCTTTTTGAGGATCCTCCCTAGGGATTTCCTTCCAAATCAGGAACCAAGAGGTTTTTGGGGCATGCCGTTCTTTCAGAGTTGATCTCTTCATCTCTAACACTGTCCTAATGAGTCATGGTTCATGGGTTAGGGTCAGCACCGCCTCTTCTTGTCTTGCATCACTGTGCAAAACCATAGGATGTCCCCTCACATAGTGGGCACAACACAGGGGAATGTGGAAACACTAGAAGAACATTTACTTCCTTCGAGTAGGTTTCTACCATATGCAGGCTTTATGCACACCAACAACTAAAATGTACCTTAACAAATGACACTTCCTGCAGCCACTGCCAGTGGGAGATACAAGAACAACTGATGGGGAATCAACAGTTTGCTGGAAAACAGGACTGACCCTTGACTGGTTGATTGATTTGCCCAACAGCAGGATGAAAGGACATACACTCGTTAGTCACACTAGGGGCAATCATATTACAGAAAAATGCTTTGAATCCATAAACTGTATATGAAACTCCAAATGCATGGCAGCACAAAGTGCTACTGGCACATTATGACTCAAAATGATGAAAAAACAAACCTAAATGGAGTAAAAAATGAAGCATGAAATAAAAACTAAAAGCAACCGAAATACTAAAGGAAAATAAATAAAGTTTTTTATCTTGCCATGAAGTTTAGTGAGCTTCAGTTCTGGTCAAGCACACACAAAAAGCATATGCAAAAGTTACTGTATTTGACCAGGAACTCAAGACAGCATCCTAGCTAGTCATCTGTTACAGCAAGCTTGAAAGAAGACAAGTTATGAGTAGCTAAGTCTAAGGGCTTCAATGACACCTTGAACTGCTATACAATCTTTGAAAAAGCCCAAACATTAAGTAGAACACATGCACAACGACCTTTCTTATCCACTGGCTGCAGTATGCCAGTGGAAACAGCTTGAAGCAGTTTCACCAGTGTGCACCAGTGGGGATAATTGACAGGGTATCCTAAAAATCACTGTCTGGCATGATGTTACCAACCCTCACGCTGTCCAGAATTGCAGCAGCAATGAGATGGTCTCTGAAGGGAAGCTCATGAGCTGCCTGGATATCATCTTTTTCCCACTGTGGCAAAAGGGCGGCTGATGGAGGCTCAAGCAGCTCCTTTGTGCTTTGCCGGGAATGGTGGCAAGCAGTGAGGCTGCCAAGAGCTATCCAGTTTTGGAACACAGCATTAAAGGAACAGGAATAGCTAAGTGAAGGAAACAGCTTTAAAACAAAATATCAGGAAAACGCCTCTTTACTATTCATACTCCGGTTTGTTCAAAGATAGACTGTTTTGTTTCTAAATACTTGATCTTTTGCAATACTTTACCTTGTTTCTCCTGGAAGAAAAGAGATTGGCATGTTCTCTTGACAGCCTTGACCTGGATGCCAATTAGATTTGCAAGCAGAGCAGAACTCAATGTCACAGGCTTTGCACTGGACCAGCTGAGGGTCCTGTGGGCTAGGTTCCTGGAGCTGGCAAACTGCCTGGCAAGTAGAGGATGGACACCAAGTCCGACACGGATCCAAAAGCACTTCTGTAAAGGGGCATAAAAGAACAAAATTCAAAGGTGGTTACAAGACCAGTCTTCCATAACAATGTATTTCAGCTGAGGTTGACTGGCAGGGCATTTGAAGACACACATTTTGAAAAGAAGCCTTTTAATTTATGCTACCCACTTAGACATAAATCTGGCCTGCTTTACAAACAGGCACCAAACTAAAGTGAGTTTCCTGAGTTTGAATTAATTGCCCACTTTCATTCACTGAACTAAACTTGTTCTGAGAATGAGATGTTGTATTTTTCTTCAGTTGTACTTGAAGTTAAATAGAGCATATAGGATGCAGGTATAACCCATCAGAAAGTGTTTTTACAGTGCCTTGCCCAGTAGGACTCTATTTCAAGTTGGCCTCTGCCCTAATGTAACCACATGATTAACAATAGCATAAGACTGTTATACAGTTTCATCCCTTTCCTGGAGGCTGCTTACTGGTAAGTCATTTCATGTTTCAAAGCCCACTGAAGTCAATAAACACCCACCAATGACTTCAGTGGTTTCTAGGCTGGGTCCTGCCCTCAGCAAAACCTTACTCTAAGTTCTCTATGGCCACACAGTTCCAGATCCCCAAAGGCACCCAGTCAGCTTATATCCTCATAAAAATTAACAAGGTTCATGTTATCATTACACACAGAACTGCCTAGTAATTCTGCACCAGATGCCATCACAGGAGATAATGGTGGCTCCGTAAAAGGGGTCAGTCTACCTCCCCAGCCCCTAGGTACTGGTAGTCAACTCAAACAGCAAAGCTCGAAATAGAAGTCACTCCCTCCCTTAGTTATAGAGCAATATAATACATAGCAATTTTCTTTCCTTAGTTTATTCCCAGAATGTTGCAATTCTGGGAATCACGCAGGCAAGAACAGAAACAACGTTTTTCGTTTTTGTTTGTTTTTTGTTTTTTTTTTTTTTGTGATGACCAAACAATTAATGCACAATGGTACTGCATGAACATGTGCAGAGCCAGATTCTGATTTATGGGATCGCTCTGGAGTGATAGCGTTCCCACAGCCTTGCAATGTGTTACATGTGTTACCTCTTTCAAACTGCAGCTTCTTATACCTTTGCATGATTTCTGATGCAACCATGCACTCAATCTGTTGAAGGAAGGAAAAGGAAAAGACAAATTTCCAATTAGGAACAGCAATAATCTAAGGCATTTTCAACAAATGGAGACAAAATATTTGACCTTTAAAGAATTATTAAAAACATACGTTGGCAACAATGGCAGCTGTAACATACAGAGCAAGACACATTTAAACATCCTGGAAAGAAAAGAAAAAAAAAACCTATTTGCAGTAAAAGTGTACCTCATTTTCTTGCAGATGACCTCGCTTTGGGCAGGCAGCATCAGGGCAGCTGATTGCTGTTTCTAGACCTTCTTTGATCAAAAGTTCCACATACTGTTTTAGGCACTGTAAGAGAGCCAAAGACTGAGATAACTATCCCACCAAGAACAAACCACTCAGTATTTTAACAGCTTTTCTCTGAAAACCTAAAGAACTCAAACTGCTTTGAAAAAACATATACTACTGTGTCCCTTTTACAACCATGGACCATGCTCACAGCTTTTGCCATGGTTATACCTTTAAATTGAAAACAGTAAGTTAATTTCCCCATCAAATAACTCTTCCCCAATTTAAAATACGCAGCAAATTAAAAAATAACAATAATGGGGAAAAGGACAAATCAAACAGGGAGCTAGGAGGGGAAAAAAAAAAATAAAACACTACCAAGATAAAATTAGATTAACCACACTCCAAAAATCTTTATGTAACGGGAAACCACAACACAGTTTAGTAAGCAGTAACTACCCATAGACAGACATCTGTCAAGCATACCAGAGAGCAAAAGGGAGTGGTGTATCTTGCCTTCTATTTCTAGAAAATAACTATCTGAACTTCATGGTTAAAGATGTATCTTTTCCATAGGAAGGAAAAATGTGAGAATTAGGACTCCCAGAAGAACTACAGTTTCCATGGGGACCGAATAATAAATATTGGTAATACTAATACTTTTCTCCCCTAGCAACCACAGCATTTTACCCAAGTCATAACTGAAAACGTAGCATCTAACACAGTAGTGCACAGCACGACCATCAACAAAACAGAGAAACAAGGTGGATATTTTAGACTAAGGACAAATTAAGACCAAACCTTGTTATTCTTGAAGAGCAACCACCCCCCTTCACCTCCACACTTCCCACATCTAGGTGAGAGCTACGGCATAGGTGCCTGCTGGGGAGGCAAGGGGAGCGATGGAGAGAGAGAGAGATCCTTCTCTCTGCAAATACCACGCAACTTCTACCAGCCTGACACTACACAGAAAGAGCAAACGAGGGTCTGCTTTCCAGCAGATGGGTCACCCTGTGATGTTCCCACCCTGCTTGTGAGTTCAGCTGGCAGTGGCAAACTGGAAACAATTACAGAAAGTAGGTCCCTAGCTCTCTGTTATGTGCATAAAGAGTGAGGCTAGACCAAAAGCAGAATGAAATGAAGACACAAAACAAGCTCAGCGTACTGCTGGGTGGGAGGCGAGAAGGATTACACGCTCTGCAGCAAGCTGGCAACACAGGGACTTCAAGTACTATTTCCAGACAGAACTTGCAAAAGGTATGCAGCTGCCGACTTGCCACCCGCCTGGGAAGGCAAAGGGCTGCATCGACCTTGCCGAGTCCAGCGTGCCTAACTGCGGGGCAGAGCACAAAGCCGCTTCTTCCTTCCAACCCCACCATCAAACAGGGCCATCAGCGAGCACGTTTCCGGCCTAACCCTTTGCATGTGGCTTGTAGCTGCTGAGGTCCAGACTTTGAGTCTACTCGTTCAGCCTCTTCTCTTTCTGTTCTGCCTCTCGATATATCTATTCTGCTCCTTTCACAGACCCTATTACCTATATTAACATTTTAGATTTTACCTCTCGCAGCTTGATTGCAGCAAAAACTTCTCTTCCTGCCCACATAATTTCTGCTGCTGTGGTACACAGCTTTTCTGGCAGCAGCATGCCACCACCTTGATAGCATAACAAATCATTTCTGTCAGATTCCCCTTCCCTGTGTCTCCTACTCAAACAGAGACAACAGGTCTATTTTTTGGAAAAGAAAAACAGAGATTGGGTAATTGATATCTTTTAAAGTTTTACATGTGTAAAAAATCCATGCGTGATAGATTATGGTCGATGTCTTCCTCTTTATCAGTAGGGATTCAATGAAGACAACTGTTCACTTAGTAGATGGTTTGACTTGCAGAAGGTTTCCAAGCCTTCGCTTAGAGCTCTGCAGGGCGGGCGGTAGAGCAGTTCAAGAGAACCACTAGCTGCAACCACAGTAGGCTGAGCTCTGCAAGAACCAGGTCCTAGGTTGCGTGCCTTGGCAAACTGCGATTTCAGCTGTAGGGAGGTATTAGTGTTGCCATAATGACACTGTCGGCTCTTCCCTTTCCCCTCCATTTGCAGATGCCAAGCGTAGATTGAAATGAAAATGCATACATTTTTAATGCCAGCACTTAGCACTTATAGAAAGTACTTTTCAAGCTGAATGAGCTTTGCCATCATTAATCATTAATGTGGATAATTCTCTTCCTCAACCTGTTTGGGACCATTGCCAAAGCCCATTCGATTTGTTTCCCTTTCCTTACATCTTCCAAGGAATGACACTGTTCATCCCTGCCACGAGCAGTGTCCAGGGCCTTCCCCTTCCCCTGGTGTGGCACTGGCCCCTACCCCCTCAAAACCAGCCCAGCCAAAGTGCACTTCTTATGCTCCATCTTCTGGGAACACAGATGCTGTCTCAAGGCCATGAAATATCACTGTAAATTAGGCAGAGGATAAAACACTGTCCATTCAAGACTTCCTCACTCCAGAGATTTCTTGGGTGAAGAAGGCGTAACCCAAAATGGTTGCAAGAGAATTTGAAGCACAGGGTAGCTGTGGCTTCTCTTGAGAGCAGACACAAGATGTGCTACTTGTGTCAGAAAATTATAAACTGGCTGCAGTACTAGAAATGCACCAGCATGCAAGGAAAACAACACAGTAGGATTAGGTACTCAGTTATATACTATGAAAAATTCATTACAAAACAACTACAAAAAGATGACAAATAAATTGTTGCTCATTTTCTATGCAGCTTGTAGTTGATCTCATGCTGGAAGAAAATATCTTCATAGCCTTTCCATTAAGGCAATAAAGTGCTGTATAGGATAAACGAAAAATGTGGGAGTGCAAGTCACCCCAAACAACTTTCAAAATGAACTGTATTAAATAATTTTTCTCAGAGAAAACAGGAGCTGAAATTAGGTACCTAAGGGCTGAGATTGGAATAAGGTCACAAGATATCCTTGTTGTACATTGACCGTTATAAAACCAGTACGCTGAGGAGCATCTTTATTCTTCCTTTGATGGACGTGTGTCAATGGAAAGTTACTTTTCATTGAAGCAATACTTTTGCTAAATTCCACTTGTTTTTTTTCTTTAAAAAAAACTCATTGTATTTCCGTAATTAAATAACTAAATATTATTTAAGTAAGTCACACTTCGAGATACTCTAAACCTATCAAAAACTGATGGTGGTTATTCTGTACATTTCTGCTTATGTATATATTATGAAATGATGAAGTCATTATAAGACTTGGCATTTAAAAAAAAAAATAACTCTTTACTGAATTAAGTAAGTCATAAGAGGAAATGTTTCCTTTGCATTCAGTTTTGTACTTCTTTTCTGTACTCTGACAATCTTTACTTAGAATAATGAAGACCTACCTAGCCGGCAAGAAGAGAGGACCAAGTGTGTAAGTTTTTAGTCATTAGTCCAGCTACAGTAACAAACCATGTTTGCTGGTTTGTTACTGTCTGCTCCTACTCCTTTCCCAGTCCAGAATTAAAACATGTCCGTTTATAGCAATTGTTAGGCAAGTTACTCTGTTTTACATTGCAGTTGCAAGAAGTGAACAGGTAACTATAGTAGCTTCGATTTCTGTCCAGCATGCACACTCTCAGCATACCAAATGACTCGGGGAGGAAAAGAATGATTATTATATGATAGCACTCCAGGACACTACTAAGGTTGTTTGGGTTCCTTAACTATACGCATCTATACCTTAACATTCATTTTACAACTTCCTATATTTTTAAATCAAAAGGAGATTTTAATACACTACCATAAATGAATGTTAGACAGGGAATGCCATGAAAACTGCCATATAACTTTTGTAATTTCCTGTAGACAAAGGAAAGCAAAGCACCGCACAACATATGTGTTATATTTAAACTATATATAGATTATATAAACTACATATATAGAACACATACATAAAAACTATATTTAAAACTTTATATAAGGTTATATAAACTGCAGGTCAAGATGCATCGCTTGCCCCAGTTGCTGCCAAACAGGGTAAGATCAGTCAGAAGAGACTGGTCAGCTCCCCCGAGCGTTACACCTGTATTTTTCCCTCGGTATGCACATTCCTTGTGCATCTCTGCTTTCTCCTCTTTCTGCACCTCACTGCTGTCCTTTCTGGTGTCTGGATGACTTTGTCTTTCACCTGGTAATCCAAGAATCCTACTGTTGTTTGCTGTCCCCATTGACAAAGGTCAGGAGCACATCCACTTTGAGGAGTTTTGGCCCAGATCCTCTCTCTCAGAAGGATCAACTCAGAGCCCAACTCAGCAGCGGTTTTACTATCAGCTTCCTATATAAATTAGGAACACTTTTTTTTTTTGTCTCAGCCTCAGAGATAGATGGCTAATAAAGGAACGACTTCCTTTCTGAAGCTGCCAAGCGTAGCCTAATATTTAAAGCTCTGCAAGATGAGTTGTACTTCTAACCTTTGTACGTCAAGGATTGTGCCACACAGAAAGGTATATTCAGTGACCATTGACGTGCTGTTGCTTTAGAGCTGCACGTCATTTTGTCTAACGTTAAAAAGATCAAAATACCCTATCGGAATCAAAATGGTTATTTTTTGCCTAATTTCCAAATCATAACACGTAATTTTACTCTGCTGCATTTAACTCTAACAAACCTGCACAGGCCACAACAAAATCTCTATATAAAGAATTAAAATGTCTGGCTTTGAATTTTCTTTTAGGAGAATTTGAGCAACAATTATACCTATTTCTGATGATGGTGCTTTGTCTTATTTTTCCCGACACCCAAAACCAAATAAAACCCATCATAATTCATAAGAAGGAATCTGACTTTCATTGTTTCCATATGGGGCAACATTTATCTACCATCTACTTCGACAGAAAAAATGTGTTCACTTGGTGCCTAAGGTAATTTTACAATACAAAATGCACGTAATTAAAAACACTTGAAGATATTTTTGGTGAACATCTTCATTTTTTAAAATAGAAGAGCATACCTTTTTGAAAAGTTACAAGTTTGCTTTTAAGAACATGTTATTGCTACTATCACAGG